TGGTTAGTCTCTTCAGATGTCCTTTTTTCCACAAATAGTTTGTCTTCGGGTTCGTATGTTGTAGATAGACGGCAGAAAGGGCGGTAAGAGGCTTAATTTGTGAAATGGACTTTTCTAGGTATAACGAGGGACTAAGGGCATGTAACCTTTGACTAGTTCGCACCCTTGATTATTCCTTCTTTAAGAACCTTGCAACCATCGACGACTCAAAGATCTTGACTTCTCGTACCAAATCCCTTTCATGAGGTTCATAAATCTGATTCACTTTTAGTGGGAGCACATCGGAATCGGTTTACAACGGTGAGCTTGATCCGTTCCATCTCCGGCTTCTATGTCCGCTAGGATAACAAGTCTGTCAGCTGGGATCCATAAGGGCATTTTGTGTGTATCGCAGTGTGGTTTTGTGAACAGCGGGGATAGTATTCCCATCCCCTTTCAAAAGGTGGGAAACAGTAGAAAGTGAGAAATCGCAAAGACAAAAGTAAAAACTGAAGATGCTACCCTTACTCCTATAGAATCCAAATTCCTTCCTAGAGAAAGGGAATTCTTCAGCGCTCTTCAAAGACTTTTGTTGTGATTCAATGGTCCATTTTTGACCACCACTCCGGCCGTGGGACAACTTCGCTCGTTCGATCAGGATCCTAGCGAGAGTAATTGCGGTTCCCACGAAATCTTGAATATCCCTAGACCCAACATTCTGGAACTCTCGGATTCGGGTGATTTCGAAGACTTTTGGTATGCATCTCGAACCTCTATAGCCCATGCTCTGATTAAGACATCTTGACTATTAGCGCAGCTGTTAAATCCCTCTTGGATAATCCTATCTCGTGTAGGAATCTCTTCCCCTCTCCTAATATAGGCAAGGCCACGTTGAGTCCTCGTCCCCAACAAATTTTCCTCTCAGGTATAAATCTTAACATGGGTTACTTGTTACTTTATACCAAATATAAAAGCGGTAGTTAGAAATTCTCAGTTCACATCAAAATAGGTGCCTGAGTGCCTGAACAAACTGTGGGGTCAGCCCATTGACTCTCACAAAGAATTAAACCCTCACCCCGCACGAGCTCCAGGCTCTCCAACCAGCACAATGCCTCTAATCCCTGAGAATCAAGACCTCGCCGAAGAAATCGAAGCTGTAAACGCCATCTACGAGCCCGACACAATAACCGTAACGCGCACGACCCCCGCAAACGCGACAACCAACAACACACTCGACCTGGGGAGTCCCGCGCACTCCGATAACCAGATCCATACCACAGTGGTCACCCTCCAAATCCCAGAACAACCTCACCTATCCTTCATCCTCGGCTTCGAAGCTTCATATCCAGACTCCCGACCCGCAGTACTGGGAACAGCATCAACCGCCGCGCGCGGGGAAGGCAAGATTGCCATCGATGTATTGGAGAATATCATACAGCGGACCTGGCAGGCCGGCGCCGTGTGTCTGTTCGATGTAATCAGCGAAGCATTGGATGTATTTCCGGAATTGAGTATCGGGCAGGACGATGTCGAGAACTCGTCTACTCCACCAACTGTCGACGCGTCGACCGCGACAGACGCATTTGAAGCTCTGTCCTTGCGCGATGCATTCGGCATAGATTCACCGCCCGAATGGATCCTATCTGACGTGGTCTCCGAGAAGAAATCGGTTTTCGTGGGCCGTGTTGCCCGTGTTACGTGTCTTGCGCAGGCGCAGGCTTTTATTGATCATCTTACGGCTACGGATCGGAAGGTTGCGGCCGCGACGCATAATATTAGCGCTTGGCGCATTCGGCAGAGGAAGGCTGGGGACGGGGAGGGTGGGGAGACTGTTGTTCAAGATTATGATGATGATGGGGAGACTGCTGCTGGGGGTCGGTTGTTGCATGTTATGCAGTTGATGGATGTGTGGAATGTTGTGGTTGTTGTTACGCGGTGGTATGGCGGGATTCAACTTGGTCCGGCGCGGTTCCGACTCATTAATGATGTTGGTCGTGATGCTTTGGTTAAGGGTGGATTTACGAAGGAGAAGGAGGAGGCTGCGGGTGCGGAGAAAGGGAAGAAGAAGGGCAAGAAATGAAAGGGCTGATGATCTACCTGATCATTTTGGATGCTCGATACCCTCCCTACACATGAATTTTATTCAAATGGAGGATTCTGGTCCGTGCGAGGCGGATGAGATGAAACACACGAGCCTACGTGACCGGGGTGCTTGATGGAACCCTAATCAGGCATCAATCGCACTAGAACTGCGGATACAACTTTCCTTCTGGGAAATTGTGCAAGACTTTATGTCTATCCTACGATTTACCGCACTGGGGAAATGGTGTGGCCCATTGCAACGCTGGCTACGGTACTGTCGACAAGCAATGCTTAAACTTTATCGAACACAAAGAAATCCCCACTTGAATTCTGCAGACTGGAAAGCTACAGTGGCATAATTGGGCAGGCTTACAGCTCACATACAGGACTGTCGAGTCTGCTTTGGCGCTCAAGACTCGGTTAATGTGACATGTGTATAGCACACCCTCTAAGTAGGCAACTTCAAACCGCCACAAGCGACAGAAAATCGCTGCTTTGGCAAATTTACGTTGAATATCCTATCTAGAAGGATCTGATAGTGCACGCCATCGAATAAGTCCAGATTAGGCACTTGGTTACCATATACTACATGTAGTTTCCCCGGTCAAACTGACGATGTACATCCTCAGCCAGCACAACTCACTGTTCCTATAAACGAATATGTTTTAGATCTGTAATTATACATGACAGAGGTATTTTACTGGAGTATCCGCCAAGTTTATTCGCAAATTAGGCTACGCTATGACTACAATGGCTTGTCTTGCTTTATCTCCATTGGATTTTAGGAAGGTTTGGCAGCATCTGTTATAGAATATGAGGTATCGAGTAGCCACTGATGTACGTAGAAGACGAAAACGTGTGCGCTATATAGCAGGTTTCATGCGAACCGCCATGCAAACCGAGCTGTCACTGCGGGATTTCTTGTCCAATTCTAAGGATATACACACTGTAGGCGCTTAGATCAAAATAGTCATGCACTCGCAAAGGGCGGAGAGTGCTAGATCGATGATTGGATCACCATATACTAGAGGTTTAATTACCATCAAGTAATAAGGAGTAACAATGGAAAGATGGTGCTCAGGGGGAGTTTGCAATATACTAGATCAATAAATATTTCATTCGATTTGAATCCCCACCAGATACTACCATAGTATACGACAAACCAATGGGCGAGCCACAGCGACGCTAAATACGAATCTTGATTGAGTCTTTCGGATTTCATTGTTGAGATCGCAAATGCAGGTCCCTATCCTCGTTCTAGGCTAGGCCAGCCGAGTATTGTGGTCTGTTCAAAATTACAGGGAGTGCTAACCGGATGGCTCTCATTTACGTTTTGGGATGTTGATATTTCTTTGGGAGAACGAGACAATGGGCTTTGTATGTACCCCGTAGTGGCTTCCATATTGTTTCTAGCGGAGATGGAATCCGCCAAGTACATTTGGTGGAGCATAACTAAGATGATCCTGAATCACGCTTATAAGATTACGACGTAGTATGCTTGACATCGGAGAGATCTTGGAAATCAAACTTGACACATTCCATTCGGAGATGTCACACTTTAGTTACCTAATTGAACTCATTTTCTAAATGTCAAGACTTGGCGAAGGAGAAAGAGTTCTGCACGGAGTACCGAGTACCCCACACAAGTGCCGGTTTGAGATAGATTGAACGAACGCTGAACAGAGGATGCCCACTTGAATTGCATGTTGTTTCACTGCGTCATAGGCTTGGGTACAAGTCGCAAGGGCTAATTATGGGCACTACGGAGTAGGTAGTACGGAGGCGAACATGAAACACACCTGTCGACGTTCGTAATTGGCCACCTTGGAAGCGATCTGAAGAGAAAAAAACCAAGGCGGCTAGAACGACAGCCAATCCACACGAACATTTGTGTGCGAGCGGTTGATGGTGCGACAAATCCAGGGGGTGGAAAAGTCTTGTACCTTGCAGCCTGTGCGGTGGTTGGCTCTTTCCCAGCCGCCCATCCAGTCCAGCGGGTAAGGTGTCTCTCAGGTCCTACTGGTCGTCTTTTGGTTTTTGACTGACGTTCAGCTTTTCACCGTGTAAACATTTGAACTCTAGTGGACGAAATCGAAAACACATGATTTCTGAAACATCCCCTCTCCTCCTTGGCCTTCCCCACCCTCCAGGTCTGTGGATATACTGACACATCGATCGACCAAGCGGATGTCTCTGCACTTTTCGGAGATCACACCAAGTGTCTCGTTAATTGCCATGCATGTAACATCGGACCATTAAGAGGCTGAGACTCGGGATTTCCAAGATCCTTGGAGGGCCAGAGAGTAAGCCCATGTCTTTGTATATAATCCCTGACGCCAACGTTGCATGGGGGTCTCTCTTAAATTCTTCTTTAGTATATTCCCTTTCCTTCTTTTCTTACTTCTATCAATTCGACATTCAGGCTAGACCTGTGTCACTTTCCTTTTTCGATTGATTATTTTGCCTGTGGCAAAATATCATACACTCCTTTTTTTGAAGCCAACCTTTTGATACGAATATAAAACAAAGAGGCCATCACTATTGTTCCTCAACAAAGAGTGTAAGAATAACATCCGACAAATTTGAATCAGTTTGTTTCATTCACTCTGATACAAAGGTATTGTGTTGCTGCCTTTGTTTCATCGTTGCCTCCGATCTATATACGTCTGATCTATTGTGGGAGATCTATGATCTATTGTTGAGACGTATATGCCTTGCCTAAAATAACCCCATCAATGAGACACTGTCATTATATATACTCCTAAACGCCTCATCTTACCTCTCGCATTTCCAAGTCTCTCATCACAACGCTAACATTCCACTACAAGATCCATTCCTTTTTACATCTGATTCCATTCGTCTGGCACGAATCGATCCCATTTGCAACATTTATCTGTCGAACCAGACCTCAAACTATCCCAAAAATTCAATCATCCAAGATGTTCTTCACTACCAAAGTGATCGCTGCCCTGATGAGCGCCTCCATGGTCAACGCCCACATGATTATGAACACTCCCACTCCTTACAGCAAGGACAGTCTCAACAACTCGCCTCTGGCAGCAGACGGCAGTGACTTCCCTTGCAAGCTTCGTGACAACGCCTTCGAGGCCCCCTCCACCGAGACAATCCTCGCCATCGGCGAATCTCACCCTCTGGCTTTCACCGGTAGCGCCACCCACGGCGGTGGTTCCTGCCAGATCAGTCTGACCACCGACCTAAAGCCCTCCAAGTCCTCCGAGTGGAAAGTCATCAAGTCCTTCGAGGGTGGCTGCCCCGCCAATGTCGACGGCAACATGTCTGGCGGTCCCGACGTCGCCGATCCCTACACTTTCAACTTCACCATTCCCGATGGTATCTCTGCTGGCAAATACACCCTCGCCTGGACTTGGTTCAACCGCATCGGCGACCGCGAAATGTACATGAACTGCGCCCCAATCACTGTCTCGGGTGGCTCCTCCAAGCGCTCCCCCGAGGAACTCGAGAGACGCGCTGCTAGCTTCCCGCCCATGTTCGTCGCAAACGTCAATGGCTGCACTACCCCGGACAATGTTGATATCCGCTTCCCTCAGCCAGGCGACTATGTCGAGTATGACGGTGAACCCGCCAACCTCGCCAAGGAGGGCTCCGAGGCTTGCACCGGTACCGCTACCTTCGGTGGCTCCGGTGACACTACCTCTAGCTCTAGCTCAGACTCTGCTTCCAACTCATCTGGTTCCGCTTCCGGCTCTGCCTCTTCTGGCTCTGTGTCATCTGGCTCTGCTTCCTCTGCTTCTCCAGCTGCCTCCGTAGAGAGCGCCTCCGTCGCAGCCGCCTTGGCATCCGCGGCCCCAATCCCAGAAGCTATTCCATCAAGTGCACTTGCCGATCCCGAGCCCACGTCCTCTTCAGCAGCTTCCCCAGCTCCCGCGACGACCTCTTCGCCCTCTAGCTCTGGATCCGCCTCCAGCTCGAGCTCCGGTGCCCTGACAGGTAGCTGCAGTACCGAGGGCCAGTGGAACTGCATATCAGGCACCTCTTTCCAGCGCTGTGCTTCTGGCACCTGGTCCGCCGCTCAGCAGATGTCGACCGGCACGCAGTGCAGTGCTGGTCAGAGCGCGGAGCTTGTTGTCACTGCCAGCAAGAAGGCGCGTCATATCTCGAGTATGCGCTTCCGCAACCGTGCCTTCGGTGCTCACCACGCCCACGCCCTTAGTTAGATATGTAACATGATCCGCTGGCTTCGGTGTTGTTCACTTTCCCCCATTGGAAGGTTTTTTAAGATTTTTTCTCTTCTTTTTGATCTTTTTTTCCAGCTGGGCTGGTTCTTTTACCCGTCGGTGCATTATATCTCGCTTTTTTCTTGTACATTTAGGAGATGAGGCTAGGAAAATAGGAAATCTCATAGGTTTTGATATAAAGATATCCATTTTGTATATGGTGGCTCTGTATTGTACTATTAGTAGTCTGTAGAGATGAGTGCTGCTCAAACAACATGTGGTATTGTTTGCCAATGCCCTTTGGGCAGCTTGGTAAAAAAAATAGAAAATCAGTTGCAGTAATGACGAGTACTGGCCAATCATCACAACTTCACCCAAATGGGGTACTTAAAGGAACTGCAGAGATGGACAGTCCGCATTGCTTGAGCTTTTTTTCCCTCGAGGTCTGGGTTGAAACAAATCAGAGACAAATTAAACATCGCTTCCGACTCGCTGAGCGAACTCGGTTTATGTTGAACTTCAATGTTACTCTCGATGGCTTCAATGTTTAGGATGGATCGCACCTGCCACAGATAGACCCACTTGTGGACCCCACGTGATAGCTCCGATTAGATAATGGTTACATATTTGCGCTAGCCCACATATGGCAGGAAGGGCTTAGGGTTCGCCGCCCCACTTCATTTTCTCACTAAGCGAAAAAATCCACACCCAGCTGTGAAGCCCCCCGACTCAGAGAGATTGGATCTTCAACCTCACCTCGACACCGACCAGCAACAATGGCCTCTCGCCCGACTGTCTCGATCGCCACGGCTGCGGGCAAGCCCTCCGGGGCCTCCCACCCCCTTCCCACTGTGTTCTCTGCTCCTATCCGCCCGGATATTGTCCAGTATGGCTCGCCAAAAACCTTGAAGGATTCATAAATCGATGGAGGGGAAGTGCTGACCGTCGCTCTACAGGCATGTTCACACTGGTATTGCCAAGAACAAGCGCCAGCCCTACGCCGTGAGCGAGAAGGCTGGTGAACAGACCTCCGCTGAGTCCTGGGGTACCGGTACGTTGTTTGGCACATTTTTCGAGATTGGAAGAATCGAGTCCAAATTTGCGAAAATTTTGCGATCATCGAATTCTCCACTTTGGAGAGCAATAACTGACTGGATCGCTTCACGTTGAATAGGTCGTGCTGTTGCCCGTATCCCCCGTGTCTCCGGTGGTGGTACTCACCGTGCCGGTCAGGCTGCCTTCGGTAACCAGTGCCGTTCCGGTCGTATGTTCGCCCCTACCAAGGTCTGGCGCAAGTGGCACCAGAAGGTCAACGTTGGCCAGCGGTATGTGGAATCCCATTGAACAAATTGAACGGCTAGAGAATGCGGAGGAACTAATAATCTCGCGCCCATAGTCGTTTCGCTACCGCCTCCGCTCTGGCTGCTTCTGCCTCCCCCGCTCTGCTCTTCGCCCGCGGTCACCGTGTCGCCAACGTCCCCGAGGTTCCCCTCGTCGTTGAGTCCAAGGCCGTTGAGTCCCTGAACAAGACCAAGGCTGCCATCGCCCTCCTCCAGGCTGTCGGTGCCGGTCCCGATCTCGTCAAGGTCCAGAAGTCCCGCAAGATGCGCGCCGGTAAGGGTAAGCTCCGTAACCGCCGCTTCCGCCAGCGCCGCGGACCTCTCGTTGTCTACAACCCCGAGACCGACGGCAAGGACCTCGTCAAGGCCTTCCGCAACATCCCCGGTGTCGAGACCTCGCCCGTCTTCTCCCTCAACCTCCTCCAGCTCGCCCCCGGTGGTCACCTCGGTCGCTTCGTCATCTGGACCTCTTCCGCCTTCCAGGCTCTCGACCAGGTCTACGGCACCACCACCAGCCCCTCGGCTCTCAAGCGGGATTACCTCCTGCCCTCCAACCTGGTGGCCAACGCTGACCTTACCCGCCTTATCAACTCCTCCGAAATCCAGTCCGTTCTCAAGGCTCCCAAGGGTGAGGCCCGCACCAAGCGCGTCAACGTCCAGAAGAAGAACCCTCTCCGCAACAAGCAGGTCATGCTCCGCCTCAACCCCTACGCCGCTGCCTACTCCAAGCAGAAGCTTGGACAGCAGTCCGTCGAGGGTGGCAAGCCTACTGCCCCTGCCGCGTCCTTCATCGAGACTCTCTACGAGAACTAAGCGGGTCTTTCTTTGCCCCCCTGCTATTTATTTGTTAACTATTTCGTTGGCAAAATGGTAGTCAGCAAAAATGAATCAATGCCTTTTTTGCAATACCCATGGGTCTATTTGGAGTAGTAATGTGATCGGTTTCCGTGTTCTTCTAAGTGACCCTCGAATTCTTTGTATCTTGCATGGTAAGTTGTGTAGACGTAGATGGGTCGAGGTTCCCGTTTCCCCGTGGATAACTGTTTGATCTGCCAAATTCCTGGTATATCTAATGAATCTTCGCAAGATCATGGATGTATGTGCTAACGCTTCTACTAATCAAAACCTATTTCCGATCGAATATGATTGCCTTTTCGAGCACTCCATACGAAGAACTAGGTCTAGTTCTTTTCCATGGCCACTTTAAGCTTACGGGGTAGAAGACTATAGCCGAGTGATCTGTCTAGTGGAACCAATTGCTTGTCTCTTGTAATTTACCGGTCGCTCACTCGGCATCCTTATATAATTGCCGGCAACTTGCTAGGTCATCCTTCGTGGTTCCGAAACGGCACGTACTCGCTGAAAATTCAGGTGTCTGGTTCCATGCAACACAATGACTAGGGGAGAGCCTCATCATTCTTCTCTCATTGAACCGATTAACTTCTTCTATATGTCTTTTATACTATCATAACTAGCAGAAGCTCGATATAATCTTGGAATGGTAGGGTTTATATAAAGTGAAAGAAAAATCCTTAAATATATATTTACGTATGAATATGTACTACCGCATAGCTGTTTCCAGGCCACCATTGTTAGAGAACATGTTGATTATTAGAATGAATCCTTTTGAACATTCAATTATATCACTACCAGACAACTGATTTCATCATGTCAACAGAATAAACCATTTTCTAATTCGTAAGGTTCGGGCAGATGCATATAGAAAGTCAATTCGTCCAAAGGAACCACGGGTAGAGATGCGGCTCCCTTTTTTTCCATCAGAAAGAAACTTTCGATGCTTCAAGTCTTGAAGTGTAATTAAACCAGTATACTACTTAGATAGCTCAATGTATACCAGCTCAATCGAGCTTGAATAAAATAGTCCAGCATATGCCAAGATGTCAACCCTGATATCACATGCTGCAAGCTTCCTCGTAGCCCACGACTTGGTACCTAGGTATAAACTCTAAACCCAATGCAAGCACATGGAATCCTTTTTAATTAATTCATGCATGACCGCAGAAGAGCCGGATAACGTCAAGTGAAACATACATTATGGCTTGCTGAGCTAGCGCGAGCGGTTCCCGACATGACAGCTACGCCATAAAACATAGTTCATAATATATTGATTAGCGTCCACGGGTACTGAGTACTAATTATTGAGACTCGGCATTTCGAGACGTTCGCGGGTATTGGCTATCGAGACTAGGAATTACTACTCCGCAGAGGAATAGCAATCTAAAAAGAAAAGAAAAGGCGATTGAAGCATTACGCAAGCTGAAACACGGGATAACGCAATTAGACAAAGAAGCATTCTGCAATAAATGTCTTATTTAGGTAACTTCACATGCCACTTCCTGCAATATAATTGACTTTTTGTGTGCCCCGTTCGTTCCTCGTAAATACATAGCTTTTTAGGTATGGGGACTTCGTATGGCGTCAGAACATCAACAATCGTACTTCGTACTCCGTATAGAGAACAGAGTTTGCCCAGTGTCATTTGATTTTTTAAGTTTATGTATGCACCCTGTATGTGAAATTGTGTACAACATATCAACCTTGGAAGTTGATAGTACTACATCTACTAACCCTCTCGGGCTATGCTATCACAGAGTACTCCGTACAGAGTACAAAGCAAGTAACTCGGAAAGTCTAAAGCCAAAGCCGGTGATCATTTAAGCGAAATACCGTTTTGGCCGCCGGGCACGGAGATCAGGGACGTGCCAGGGCGGATTGCCAAGAACACCGCCAGGGTCCACGGCTGATATTCGGAAGCACTTGGGAGTCCGAGATCTTATGTGAGTTGAAGAGCCTTTTTAACTTCTGCACATTGATGCTATTGATCCGACTGGTTGGGCGCCCATTAGATTCACTAGGTAGTATGTTGATAGTTACCTAAGGGTGTGCACTATTTTCAATGACGTTGGGTTTGAGGTCTCACGTTGTACGGAGTACATGGAAAGCCTATCTACAACCCAGAAATGGACCCATGGATATCCATGGACACCTAGTAGGTATTACATAAAAGTGCCCGGTGGGATATAGATGTACTAGTATTCTATCAAGTAATATTCTATCTGTACTCCGTACTCCGTACGGAGTACGTATATGTATCTCTCTAGTAAAGTTAAATTGTATTGCAACATCGATCAGGAACATATTAGCCGAGAGATCCTGAAAAGGTTCAAGCCGTGCGATCGGAGGGGAAAATCTCCGACCCCGCGAGGAAACAAAGAAAAAAAACAAGAGAGAAAAGAAAAAGAAAAGAAACCAGTTCAAAGAGCGGTCTCGGTAAGATCAACCGAACAGATAAGCTGTACGAGTAAGGAGAAAAATCTAATGGAACCTTGTACATGGGTACATAAACGCCCGGGTCTCGTGCTGGACTCTATTCGCAGATCACAGGGCGGACGCTTCTCTAAGTATAGGCATGTCTCACTTGAGCACCTAACACGAATCGGTTCAGGGGTGCAACGCGTATTGGCGCTATCGGGAGTCAATCCACTAACGCCGATGCAAAACATGTTGCAGTAGTAATGTTGCAATACATTAGTGTCCAAGAGGAATAGAACACGGTGGCTTTATGGAATTATGTCCTTGTACTCCGTATAGAATTGGGAAGATTTTTTTCTTCTTATTTCTGCTTTCTTTTTCCATACCCGGCACGCCATTATTTATAGAACTGTTCATGGTAGAGACATTTACGTTAAACAACCTGAATAAACCGAATAAACCGAACAAACTCAATTACCTAATGTGGATCATTATACGGGTTGTCTCAAGCCCTTCTATATAAGTGATTTAATTGGACTTTGCCGCGGATTAATCCTCCGCTCATCCAATTTTTTTTGGAGGCTTCGGTATTTATTCGGAGAAACTAGATCCCGTGGAAAGGAGATTCCCATGAAGGAATTGACTTCTCTAAACTGCCGAGCTTGGAGGTATGATTAACGGTAAAATCCCGAACTCCGGGTAACTCGCGTCATTTCATCTCGGGCTTTTCCTAGAACAGAAAACGCACACTCCAGGGGCTGAGTCCAAACCAGACGACGATCCCGAAGGCTTGCAGATCGGATCGCCAGAAATTGAGACATACATCATTCGTCCTCCGTATTCCGTACGTGGTCAATTCCAGAGTTGCATCGCCGTTGGACTAGGATGTCAAGTGGACCTTAACAAGACCAGGGTTCCCTGTTGGATAACGAATATGGTAACTTCGTAACTCTGTAACTTTGGAACCTTGGGAGATTCCCTATAAAACAGTGATCTGGTGGGAAAAAAAATAACTAAATTCGGCATATCTTCTCCATCCTAGGCACGGGGAGGACGGAGTACCGAGCCATAAAATAACCTCACGGAGTAGACGGTCTCGGCTTTGGCTCTTTATAGAGTATAGTAGTTCGAATTCGGGAGATATTAAACCGGTGCAAAACAGTAGCCCACTCCACTTGCGGACCATAAGGTCGATCCTCACCAGGCTATCCAAAAGTAAGATAGATAAGCCCTGCGGGCCCGACGCTGGGAAGGAGGATTGTCCCGTCTAGGCATAGAATCGCCTACGCCACCATCCGGCCGAGGCCTAAAGGACCCACTGTGAGGATACGGTATTTTGTGAGTTCAAACAAGCTCACTGAGTTTTTTTTCTTCTCTTGTTTTCTTTTCTCTGCTTATTCTGCAGAATTTTAACTTTAGAACTATATAAATCTTGCAGATTATAGTATATATGTTGTATACATACACACATATTTAATGTCCACTTTATCCGGAGTACTCCGTAGGTAGATATCGTATCCGGACCCATGTAAGTGTTTATATTGCACATGTTCGTGAATCCTAGTAAAACCCGCAAGTACTCTATTGGTGCACGTCTCACTGAAGTGTCTAGGGCATGAGATTGGTCACGGCGTAGAAGGTACTGCAGAGTGGGTATCTCAAGACCTTTGCGCGTAGAAGCCTAGAGTTACGAATATGTATGTTGTAAGCACCAAGGTAAAGTACTAATGTAGCATCCTTGATCCTTGTGGAGGATTCGCCATTAATATAAGGATGCGGTAGTAGAGCGGATGAACCGGGGGAATATTCGGGGAGAATTCCACATTTTCCCCTATATTTTTCCTATTTTTTCTATTTTTCCTATATTTTTTTCCCAAGATTACGGAGTACATACTCCGTACTCTCCACTTGTAAGAACCAAGTCTATAATTGCCGTTAGACAACCATTCCCGATGCCATTCTCTGTGCAAGTTTGAAGACTCAATGCCGATGTCATGTACCCACTATTAATTCTGATTAAAAAAGAAATTTCTATTTAACTTAATTTCCATTTTCTGAACTAACCGTCTATAGAGACATCGGGCACACCCTATCCCTAATGTGGCGTCTTTGGAGCCGCCTAAACCTAAAGGGTTTGAACTGTCTCATTTCAATTTTTTTCTGTGTTGACGTATGTTGTAGAGTAAAGCCATAGATTCGGTTATTCCGAGTAGTTAAAACTAATTTATATTAAGTCGAAAAGGTGAACGTTCGTACTTTTTGGTCTTTTGGTAATTTTAATGTACTCGGAATACTTAGAATACTTAGAAGACTCTTACTGCTTTAGCTCTTTTTCGAGCTCCATACCTGAATTCCCCTCCTTTCCCATCTTTCTCCATATTGTCCTTTTCTGTTTCGAGCCTCGGTTTCTTTAAACCATTTTCGTCTTTTTTTTTGGGACCTTTTGCTTCAATCCCCTGAAGAAAACCTTGTACCCTGCAGGACAGAGGGGAAGGCTGAGGCTCGACGTCAAGTCTCGACTTGGAGGGAACGTCAAAATCATTTCATTCTTAGTCTCTCGAATCTACAAGGCGCTACTTCTAGTGGCTTTCCCCCCCCTTCTAGGGTACCACTGACCAGTGGTAGGCGACAATTCTTTCGAGGCTATTTTGTTCATAAAGCTGTGTGCCACCATCGGTCTACATTGATCTTTCCGATTATCATTACCTTTGCTATCGGTGTCAGCTTGGGTCTTTTTTTTGTCTCTCACACATCCATTCGGAATTCGGAACTCCAAAACGCCTTCGGCGTTATTCGCTCCAATATCTTTGGGGGCCTACCCACACATTGCCGCCACTAATCCCTAGCTCTTCGAGAATCTGTAACCGAGATCTCACTGCCGTCTGATCTCCCCGCTCTGCCGCATTCTCGAGTATCTTAAGCATTCAGCAGTACTCTGCTGGATTTCAAGTGCGGGGCATTCGTCGTTGCCACTTTGGCCCGATTCACCGCGAGCCTGCAAATTCATAGGCCCTCGTCTCAAGCCGGGCAAATCCCTGGACGTTGGCACAAGCTACTGGGATACTGCAGCCACCCTAGCACGGAAACCATGCAGCTGAGACCGTGACTGCCCGGGACTAATGCGAGATGGTGGCCTTCTAAGCTAGCTTCAATTCCTTTCCCCTTTTCGACTTCACCGGCACGCGCAAATTGCTGAGAGTTGAATATTTCGATCTCCAATATTCTCACCAACTCACTGGCAACATTTGTGCGAATCCCTCTCCCTCATCACTCCTGTTTGCCATTCACTTCTGAGCTTGGAACGTACATGATCGATCTATTTCGCTTTGCTGCCGCCTGATCCAAATTTGTTTTACTTTCTACTCCATTATATCACTGTCCCCTGGAGACCGAAAATTACAGTGGTATGTGAAAGGCGCTTATGTCCCACCAGAGAGAGAGGGGTCGGAGAAACGAGCTCATTGCTAAGTCGCCTGCTTTCTTCTAGTTACCCGTTTTGTGCACTATCTTCTGGGACCTGAGGAATTCAACAAAAAGCCGAGAATCAGCCAAAGACAATCTCGTCTAATCATTTCAAGCCAAGTCATTTCCTCGACAATATACCCATTCAAGGGTACGAAGCCACTGAGCACCCCTGTTCACTGTTTGTTGGCTGAGTCTGTTATGTAGACAGTCAAATTGTGTGAAGCACTCTGACCCCATATATCATCCAACCGTCATGTCAACACCCCAAGGATCAGGATCTGGCTCCGGTTCTGGCATAGGCCCACACTACTACATTGGACCCTTCGGTCGTATGTTACCCACCACAGATGGCCCATCCTCGGAGCAGCAATCCGAGCATCCAGCTAATTTACAAGAATCCCCGGACCTTCCATACCAGCTTCCACCCCCGCGTGTTCCAGCTAGTTTACAATTTGGATCTGATCCCTTCCCACGACAGAAAGGCAGTCCTCAGGGCAAAGACAGTCGACCAAATCACCAGAAGCCAGAGCAACTTCCCTCCGTGAGTCAAATACTTACTCCAACACCGGGTACCAATTCAGCACAATACCCTCAACCATTTGCGACTTCGACACCCAACATAGGGCGCCGTGAACCTGCATATCCACCTCACTATCACGATCCGAATTTCCAGGGTTCGCCAACCTCTATACAGGATAGAGGCCGTTCCGAATCTCTCCCGCAACTTCACACTGGCCTGCCCCCACTATCACAAGTGGCTCTGCATGGCCACGGAGGTATAAGAAACCACACGCCGACAAGAAGTGATCCATCTGCTACATCCTATCCGCACGGTCAGCTACCCTTTCACACCACAGTCTCACATGATCAAGCCCCAAGTGGGGAACTATCATCACCGGAAAGTTCAAATCGATCACGCAACCAGCCCCTCCGGCCTCATGTGGTAGACGAGCGAGTAATCGACGGGGAACTTTGCTTCGTATATGCAGACGGATCATTCTGTCCCAAATTTATCGATGGTACACCTGTCAACGCAAATTGGGGCGTAACGAAGGCCGGGAGGCCGAGAAAGCGCCTTGGACTTGCCTGCCTGACCTGTCGCGAGAAGAAGATCAAGTGTAATCCTAACCCAACTCCCGAGGCCGTATGTGATCAATGCCGGAAATCTGGACGTGAATGCAGGTTCGAAAGTGCGTAAGTGTGATCGTGATCTCTGAAGAATATGCGTCCACGGACTTATCCTGTTGAACAATTGCTAATCTCCTCAAAGCCCGCGGGGGAACCGTCCTCCATTGAGAGGGTCAGCAGGGCCATCTGGTAGACCCGACCCTTACTCCCGCGCTAGTCACGGTACTTTGGACATTTCTCCGGCACCTTACGACATCGCTCGAGCCTCGGACAGTGCGACCTCCCTTCCTGGAACCAACGGCCACTCACCGATATCAGAGGGCTCGATGCTCACGCCGTCAGCTCAAGATGCTACGTATGAAACCATGGCTGAGGCCGATAAAGCTTTAAGATCCCGATCTTACCGATTCCCACCGTCTTTACCCGGCGCGGATGACACCCTTGGACGACCGTCGGCACATATCGAGTCTACTCGTTCGCCCGAGTACTCTGACATTCTGGGGGAACTCAAGGACAACAACTCGGACGACCCACTCGCGGCATCCTGGCACCTGGACCCGTACGAAAGCGACCCAGAGACAGCGGTTCACTATACTGAATGCTATTTTTTGCACATGAATGACGGGCTGTACCACATGTTCCCGCATGGACGATTTAGCTCGTGGTTGAAATCCTACCCCACCAAGTCTGCCGACGACAAAATGCTCCTTTATTCTATGATGGCTCTTGGATCTGTGTTCTCAGACAGGCCAGACAAAATGGCAGCTATGAGGCGATATTCTCGCATAGCACGATTTGCTATCAACAGAAGCCAGCACACCCTCTCTTTGCAGCTTGCTCAGAGCCATATCATAATGAGTCTTTGGTACTACGCTACAGGGTCACTGGTCGGGTCTTGGGACTCGATAGGCGCAGCGGGAAGAGCGGTCTTTGGGCTTCGTTACAACGTGGAATCTGGCGGCGTTGTTGTGGATCAAAGCCAGATATGTGACTACGGGTTACATCCACAGGCGTTGATTGAGTGCCGAAGGCGGACCTTTTGGATTGCTTTTGTGCTTGATGTAAGAATACCACATCCTCGGACTAACGAGGGTATCCTAGTCACTAACAAAAAACTAGCGCTTCTCGAGCCTCTATTCCGCTTCGTCGACCTTCATCTCGTCAGATGCAGCCCTGTTGAGACTCCCATGCCGAGAAGAAATATATGAGACTCAGCAGTACGCGACAGTCCCCTATTTCCAATCATTCCTCAACCACATCCCCGCCTCCACAGGCGATGACCGCTCCACACTAAGCCCAATGGCCTTCTTAATCGAGATCATGGCTATTTGGGGAGACATTTCTCTGCATATAACCAGGTTACCACACATTCCCCCCGAAGCATACAACCAAATCGCCGAAGAATTCCACACCACCATCGTCCAAAAATCCAACCAATGGATGAACCGACTTCCTGAGTACCTGGCATTCTCACCTATAAGCCTAGAACGAAGCATCCGGCAAAGAAAAGCAGACACCTTCATTTCGACCCACTTGTTCTACCACGCCAGTTTGATGAAACTGTACAGACACGCTCGCTACCAGAGCCTTCGACCCGAAATACTAAGCCAGTACATCCACCGCGCTCGATACCACGCCGTCGAAATCCTCCGCATCTCTCTCACCTTCGACCAATACGCCAAAAAGATCACCCCTTCTCGGCACAACACAGAGACATCCATTTCCCAATTAACCCTCCTGAACCCATTCCTCGGCTACGTGATTTTATCAGCTGTGGATGTCCTTAGCTCCGCTGGTCTGGCGTCGCAGTTGCACGAGTGCATCTCTTACATTAGAGGTGCACTAGATACTGTTCACGAGCTCGGCCGCTACTGGGATAGCTCTTTGCAACTATCCGCCGTTCTCCACAGACGTCTGGGTCTGATGATTAGCTGTATGAATGAGCGCAGCGTCTTCGCGGAGAAACAGGGTTTTGCTCTCGATGGCCCGCCGCTTGAGACGAAGGTCCATGCTGGCGCTTTGCATTCTCATCCGCCGGCTACAATGGGTGAGGACCTTTTCACAGGATCTATGCCTAGACAGGTGCTTTTGAATGCTCTGCGGCTTGATGAGACGCTCATTTCGGAGAGTGGTATTGCTTGGATTAGAGATCCTTGAGGTGACTTTCTCCTCTATTCCTTTTGGTATTCTCTTTGTTTGAGTTCCACATTTGGCGTGACGACGTGATTGACCACCTGGCAATGTTGATGTTGATGTTGATGTTCTTACAGTGGTGATGGAATCTTATTGTCTATCATCCTGTTACGATGTGATGGATGCATTTCAATGATGATGGTGAATTGGCTGATTGATTCGAAAGTTTCGTTGCCATGTATAGACCTGTGATCTACATGACTTGACTTTGCCTGTTTTCGAGCAGCAGAGTTCCATATTTTCTTCATTGTATATTAATTATTGCATGTCATTTATTTTCTGCTTTTTTCATGCTTTTGAGCGAGCTCTCTTCTAGTGCTATCTGCTCGTCATGTACTTGTATATATCTATTAGACGTGGAAGGCACTGAGACAGATAAAGGAGAAATCCAGACCAAGGTCTCACTATTCTATTACAAAATCATCTAGAATAATATGCTGCTATGATGAATTAGCTGGAAACTGTCCTGAATAAATGAACCTGCCTTCAGCAGGATCCATCAACACCGCGTAATGAGTATCTTCATTAACAATCGGGTCCGAGCAAAGCCACCCGAGTACTGTCCCAAGAGTAACCGATACCTCAGATTCAGGATCTTCTCCTATATTCGTATTCCGTTTCCACTTCAAATGCACTGGCTGGGAATGGGGAAGAGCAGCATTCTTAACTCTCCGCTTCTTTAGTTGTTGTTGGAAAACCCCATGATCCAGCACCCTGCGATCCCATTTTCCCTGCATGGACGCCTGCCGCTCTTTACTCTCCTCAATAATCTCCGCCATGCTTTGCATACCGTCCACCACACGCAGACCGGTATATCCTCGATCATTCGCGATAGCCTCCTCCATAACCGATATTGTATCCTCATCATGATTGGTTTTGATAAGGAAAGAACTCGACCTCCGCCAGACCGCAGTCCCATAGTCCTTCTCCATCGCAACAATACTACTCCCATCACAGAAGATCAAGTACGCAGCCGTCGTACGCAAAGAAGGAACCTCATTCAGGATCTCCTCCAAGGTCGAAGTATTCGAAAGTCTCGCAGATCCCTCACCCTCCACACCAGGAAGAACACACTGTCTCAGCAACGACGTAATAGACTGTCGCAAACCAAGTAAGACAAGCAAATAGTTCAAATAAAACCCGAAATTCCGACGCGAGTCATGCACTGCCCGGAAATTCAGCGAAACGCTCAGATCTTTCCGCACACCCGTGAGAATACCCACGAACCCGACGTACGTGATGCACGTCGCGAGCACTTTATCCGGCGCGTCGTCGCGCACGAATTCAAGTTGCACGATTAGAGAGCGCAGTGGATCCATTCCCCAGTCTAAGGTGCGGAAATGGACCATTCGGGTCCAGAGTCCGTCGAGCATTCGTACGCCGCCGCTTGTGCAGCCCATTAATAGATCCAGGACCACGTTTAGACAGATTAGGAGGTACAGATCGACTCCGGTTACGCGGCTGATGCCGCGAATCTCGGCGGTTTCTTCGTCTGTGTAGAGTCTGCGCAGGAAGAGACGCGCGAGCCAGTGGATTGGTTTTGTTGGGATGTTGGGGGAGAGGTTGTGGATCACGTCGTCGAATATGCTGGTTACTGAGCGCATTCGGTCTTTGTAGATATAGGCTAGGGCTGTGTAGCGCTCTTCTGGTGGGCGGGAGAGGTTTATTCTGAACACTGGGGGCTGTTGGGAGCCTAGTTCTTTTAGACGGGTATTCATTTTTTTGATGGGTTGTTTTGATTATTGGTATCCCATTCAGTTGAGGAGGGGTGAAGGATGTGAGGTCGAGTGAGGATGCTTAATAAGTTGATAAATATCTCGTTCTGAGGGTTTTATAGGAATTGAGAAATTTGGGGTATACTGAAGGGGCTTACTCCGTACTTATGGGTAACACGATGTTCACCGAAACTGCTGCCTGTTGATATATCCGCGTGGAACTCTAATATAGATCGACACTCAACATTCGATTTTCTAAAAGTCAAGAGTTCGACCAACGTGTATGACTCTATTGGGCTGACACATGTTGAAGAAGAGGTCTAGCGTTCGACGTGGCTCGTTTTGCCAAGGGATTCTATGTCGATCCACCTGTGCTTGCTACCCCCAAGTACCCAACGGGGTATCTTTAGCTTCAGATAGTATTTTAAGCTGATTTACAGATTACTGTACGATGATTTCTTTTTAGCTTTCCTCCCTGACTGTAGACTGAGCTATTTGCATGAATTAGTGGACTTTGCTCCTCTTCTATTGTTGATTACACTAACTGGCTCTGAATCGACGACAATCCCAATATTCAGGAATACCAAACCAGGCTGCATCCGAAATTCAATGCCTCGGATTGAACTTCATTGGATACATACGGGTTCCAAGACAAGCTTACTCTATACAGAAGAAGAGCCGGATGATCACCTCTGCAGCTTGAGAACAATCCAGCTGATCTGCATAGCTTTTGACGAACATGCTCTATAACTTGCTCAGCCCCATTGGGTATTTCTATTTTGTTAAGTGGAGATAAATGTAGACTATTCTAATTACAGTAGACCTTGCTGGCACCTATCATCTCTGAGATCGTTAATGTGTCACCCATTTTCGCAATTGTTTATTAAAAGATGACATTCCATCTATATAAGATAAACTGAGATTTGCATAGTATCTACCTGTTAATATGTTAACATGCTAATACTAATGTTAATCCTAATCTGTTGGTCACATCACTCCAATTGCCTTGAAGCCAATAAGAATCGGATCACGGGTCGTCACTGGGCAACAAAGGCATTGTATTTTAACGATCAACGGGCAAACGTTACATTTAGTCTCATAGACTCGACATAATTTGAAATAAATGTGAATTAACTACTTGATAATAAGCAGCGAATACTAGCTCTATACATATCCCCAAGTCAATGATGCTCCACTATAACACCTCCGGGGATTCCAACGGAGATGCGGAAGGTTTCTCCGGAATTTCCATTTCCCTCCACATCACCTTGTTTCATTGTCCAGTAGCATTTCATCCAACCACCCCAAAATGGGGCTATATATATAGATCACAAAAAACGAGTGTGCAAAAAGCTCTCTCATGTCCTCCTTCAGCCAGTCCGTGCCCGAATTCCTCGGGGCGCAGGAGTTCCGCGCGACGGTGGAAGATGACGGACTCGACGGCGACTATAGCATGGTCGGCGACTACCCAGAGGAACCCGACTATTACGTCCTGCTGGGCCTTGCGCGCAATCCACCACCAACAGAAGCCGAGATCCGCTCCGCCTACCGCAACCTGACCCTCAGCTTCCATCCCGACAAACAGCCGCCGCATCTCCGCCATGCGGCCGAGAGCCAGTTCAGACATATCCAGGAGGCGTATGAGACCCTCATCGATCCAAAGAAGCGCGTTGTATATGATATATCTGGTGCTGCGGGCGTGCGACAGGAATGGGGTCAGCGTGGGGCCATGGGGATTGGTGGGGAGGCACAACGACAGGAAGTTGGTGTTAAGGCCATGTCGCCGGATCAGTTCCGGAGATGGTTCCTGAAGACCATGAAGAAACGGGAGCGCAAAGCGGTTGAGAGTCTGGTTTCCAGCAAGGTATGTATATTCTGTCCTTTTGTTTATGGGAAGTCGTGCGAACGGGCTATTGCTGACATTCATTGGGTTTGATATTAGGGCGGTATTACCCTCGGAATCAACGCGGCGTCCATGATCTCAGTCGACGAGGACGAAGATGTGCAGTTCCACATACCTTCGCCGCAAGTGTCCTCATATGGTGTTTCGTATAATTTTAAGACGCCGGTGTCATTACCACAGCTTTGGGGCACAGGGGAGAACGAGACAGAAACGTCAGGTGTGGAAACGGATTCAGGAGAAGGTGTGCAAGAGGAAGAATCAGAGCACATGGAGGTGACTTGGAATGCGGGTATAACTGGAGGTTTGGCTCGCCCGGTCAGGAAAGTCACAGTCCAGTACGAGGATGGGACAGAAGGAGAAGAAAAGGTATGATATGCTGCGTGTTTGCATCTCAAAAACTTTGCTAACCCATTCTTAGTTCCAAATGCCACCTTTGCTGGCAGCTCAGAACTTCCAATTTGGGGCCACTGTGACTCCCAATTTCAAAAACCTGGTGGGTACCAAGGGAATCTGGGCCAAACATCCTTTCTCCCTCCTTAGGGATTCCCATGTCAGCTTCAATGCTCTTCTTCTTCCGGCCCCGACTTTGAAAGCGACCATTGCTCGAGCCTTCCAACCAATCCCTGGCACCAAGCCGTTCCAGGTCAGCGTGACTAGTATACATATGCGCTCCTTGGAGGAAACGGCGCCTTCCTTCGAGGTTCAAATTTCGAGAGAAATTGCCAAGAGAAAGATCGGCGTCATTACATGGTCCAGTGGCGTTGTTAACTGGCCCGAATTCCTTCTCAACTGGTTCCCATCACTTGGCATGGGAGCTCAGAGTGCCATTGCATCTGCTAACGAGGTCAGTAACCTGCAAATTGGTTTAATCTCCCTCCCCCAGCAGGGCCAAGCTACAGTAGATTTCGATGACGACGATGAGGAGAGTGGGGATATGGAAGAGGACGTCCGTCATCTTCTCAAGAAAAAACGCCATATCGACCAATCTGCCGAGTCATGGCAGACCATGCTCCAGGCTACTCCCGCCGGAGGCGCCCTTATCTTGAGTTATTCTCGGAATCTCTTCTCCGGAAAACCCGCTGATGATCCGGTTAAGACCGAATGGAGCTCTGAAGGGTACTTCCCGATGCCGAGCATGGACCAGGCGCGTGCTGTGCGACTCGAGATTTCGAGTGTTCTTGGGACAGACATGTCTCTCAATTGGACCATTAAGGGTGTTCGTCGGGTTGGCGAGTACACACGTGTTGGGCTTGGTATTGGTATCGCCGACAAGGGTATCATGATGACCGTTTCATGGAGCCGACTCGGCCAAACCATTACTCTGCCGATCAATGTTTGCCCGGCTAATGAGGCAACAAGCGGCGCTGCAGCGCTGACTGCTATATTCCCTTGGCTGGCCTACTGCGCGATTGAATTTGGATATATTCGCCCGCGCGATAGAAAACTCCGTCGGCAGGCAGCTGCTCGACGCCACCGTGAGCTCAAGAAGTTGATTCCCAAGAAACGCGAAGAAAGTCTCCAGGCCATCGACCTCATGACGGATCAAGTGCAAAGACGGCAAGCGCGAGAGGAAGCACAAGACGGTCTGGTCATCTTGAAGGCCGAATATGGTTATATACCGCCAGTAACCAAGAAACCCAAAAATGGGCTCGCGGAGCCTCGGGTGATTGATGTCACGATCCCTGTGGCTGCACTAGTTAACCGGGGTCAATTGGTGATTCCTGGCAAATCTATCAAGGTAAGTCAAGCGATAGGCCTTAAATCTGTAATCCTTTTCTGAGTACTAATTTGGATATATCTAGTTCCAAATTTTGGGATTCCACGACCCTGCGCCATTGTTGTCCAAACGATTGAAGATCTGGTATAGATTCCAGGGCCGCGATCATTTTGTCGAGGCAGGCGATAAAGAGGACATCGCATGCCCCATGCGTACACACTTTATATCCACATGAGATCTAGACTCATCAAAAGGTTGAAAAACCTTTGTTTCCATGTAATTATATGTAACATCTAGTCGTTTATTAGCGACTTACTATTTCCACCTCCATTTGGATGCTTTTACTCCTGCCTGTGTTTGTAGGTCTGAACAGTCATTTTCTCAGCTGCTGTAAATACAAGGATTTCTATAATTTGAAGGCGTTCTCATATTAAGCATTTTAACAATAGCATTCGTTATGAAATGAGCCAACCCAAGTGAATTGTTGCTCAACGTCGGAAAGTCTTGGCATAATTAAATACGGCATTCCATAAAGACCATCAGCGCAGTTTGTCCCGAAAAGCCAAATGGAGCGTCACTCCATGATCTCCTCTCATCAACCACGAGTGCACAGCTCTTGAGTTGCTCACTCTTGAAATGTCGACCTCTATTACTTCTGGACTTTTCAAGTCCCTCCCCAAACCAAAATACACTGGTGAGGAGGAGGAGTTGCCACAGCATGCGCAACCTCGTGGTCCGCGCGTGGTGGGCGCCGACCAGATTGATGAAACACAGGTTGTCCTACGGGTGAGTTGTGGATCGTTCTATTGACATACCAGTACGAGGACTAATTGATTCTGTCTTTCAGAGGACCGGACCCCCGCCCTACGGAAACCGTGCAGGATGGCGACCTCGCGCCCCCGAAGATTTTGGGGACGGCGGCGCGTTCCCCGAGATCCTAGTTGCACAGTATCCCCTCGACATGGGCCGAAAGGGAAAGTCATCCAAGTCAAATGCGCTTGCTCTTCAGGTTGATGCCGAAGGCAAGGTCAAGTACGACGCGATCGCCCGCCGCGGACACGCCGACAACCGCACCGTCCATGCCTCATTCAAGGATTTGATCCCGCTCCGCCAGCGGGTGGATATGGGAGAAATCTCTCTGGAGAAGCCGTCTGAGGAGGAGATCCAGGCTCAGATGGAAAAGACGAAAGCCGCGCTTACAACCTTGGTCGAAGGAGCTGCCTCAGCGCAGAAGCCGAAGAACGTCAAGGGTGGACAAAGAGCAGAGCCGACTTTTGTTCGATACACTCCGGCCAACCAGATGGGCAACAACGGTCGCCAGAATGATCGTATTATGAAGATTGTCGAGAGACAGCTGGATCCCATGGAGCCGCCCAAGTTTAA